AAGCGTCGATTGAATAATTAAAAACAGCGTCAAACTTGAAATCGTGGATCAATTTTTGAAAAACAGCATTCAAAAAATACGTCGAAACACAAAGAAGCCATACGCAAAAAAAAAAGGGAGGTGTTTTTTTAATATTCCCGAGAAATCAAAAATTTAGTGACTTTCAGCGTTGCTCTGCCGCCTTCTGCTCGTCCGCCATGACGCGAGGACCCGTAGAAAAAATTGTGCTTTGTAATAGACATCTTATTATGACTTTGTTATATTTTTAACATGGCTATAGGCTGATTTTACGAGGTTTGTCTCTTCCTGTAGTCCCATTTCCATCGTTAAATCAAAGTTGAAATGATAAGTTTGAGGTTATGTTGTCTAATATGTTTACCAAACAGCTAGCCTCGCGCACAAGCCTCTTTAGCTCGCCGAGCAGAATGCGGACGAGCAGAAGGCGGCCGCGCAACGCCGAAAGTTATTATTAATTATTCAATCGACGCTTTTAAATGTAGTTTTGATCTTTAAAAATTGAAAATATAACTCGCCTTGACGGAAATTTCATGCACTTTCCGGCGCTGCCGCCCTCAGATTTGTGATTAGACGAGTAGTTTGGCAACAGTAAGAGAAAAAGAGCGAGGTGGACGCACAGCCGGACGCCTATTTTACATCCTTTTTATTTTGTTTCTTGTCATTTCGGGAGCAATAAGTTGTTTTTGTATTTTAGTCCGATAAACCTATTTGCAAAGTTTGAACGCGATCTGTGACCTAACCCGCTTCTGATTTGATCACTTGAGAAAGAATCACTCATCTAGCGCCCAAACGGTTACAGATATCGCCAAACGGATGAAATGTTGGCCATGCGAGTCCTACTTAAACGAGGTATCACTCAGAAACCAGCGATAATAGCAGACCGTTTAGGACGAGGGTAATGTTCACTTTTCAAAAGAATCACAATTCCAAATATTTTGAATCATTACCGATTATTACAATCTTTTCAATCTTCCCAATCATTTTGAATCATCTACATTTATTTTGAATCATTTCGAATCATTTTCTGATCACTTTAAATCATTGCAAAGCTCTTTCAATCATTTTACAATCTGTCCACCATTTTACAATCTTTAAATCGTTTTACAATCTGTCAATCATCTTAGAATCACCACAATCACATTTGCAATGATCAGTTTTGATTGCAATCACTGTACGATTGCTTTAGGAGTGGTGGATCCTCGGTTTCGGACCATAATTAAAAGTACTTTCTGATTTTATAGTCGACGTCCAGTGGAAGAACCTAGTCATTTCAGTTCGACTGGTGATATTCGTTGTTGAACAACGCATCGAATATCGATGACAGCACTTAAACAACTGTCGTAAGTCTATTGACATACGGCAAGCAAGGGTCAACCAGTTCCGCTCAAATGGAGTATTCCATGTGGTCGATTTCTTACGTTGATTTGACGCGATCATCGAAAACGTAAAAGTGTTTCGTGATATATCGGTAAAGCCTGTTACGTGGGACGTGGTCTGGCTATCTACCCAGTTGAATTCAAAGAACCAGTTTCCTCCTAGGCACAAAATTTGTTTTGTGTTTTATATCTTATGTAGTACTTACGGTGATGCATTGTACCCCATGTAGGCGACATTCTTCTTGTTTGCAGGGCACTTTTTACTCTTAAAGCCTGCCCATGTGTTACATTGGACGGCGGGAAAGGCTTCCGGAGAAAGTATAGACTCAGCGAAATATCGATAAGATTGAGCATGGCTGCAGCGCCCCGGCTCAAATTGGTCGCCTGAAAACATTTTGTTGGTTAATGGGCTGAGCTTGCGAAGCCTTGCTGTGCAGGGAACTTTTTGATCGTGTGTTCGTCTGTCTGTACTGGCCCACGTTTCTCTCAGATGGCAACCTCACTTGACTTCACACTGCACACCAAGCATAAGTATAAGTCGGGACGTAACGAGTTTAGTTTAGAATAATGATATAAGATGTTTGAAATAAACGATCGTTTAATTTGAAGTCGTAGTTTGTTGGTGGTTGGTTGGTAGCACGGCGGTCGAGGGGAGGGAGAGCGCAAGTGGCTTGTGC